CTTCCTTGGAGGTCTCTCTAGAATTTATTGTTAAATTAAAAACTAACAAACAGGACATGGAAAAGTGTGTATAGTATGTTATTCATTTCCTATTGCTATTATAACACATTAACTTGAATTTAATAGCTAAATATATTCTTTCATAGTTCTAGAGGTTTAAAGTCCAAAACAGGTTTCACTAGGTTAAAACTAAGGTATCAGTAGGGCTGCACTCTCTCAGGAGGGTGTAGGTGAGTATTCTTTCCTACCTTTTTTTTCAAGCTTTCAGGGCTTCATTCCTTGGCTCAAGGCCCCTTCCTCCAGTTTAAGTCACAAACATAGCAGCTTCAAATCTCTCTCTGCTTTCATTATTACATTGTCTTCTATCTTTCTGACCTCTTGACTCTCTCTTATGAAGGTCTTTGTGATTATATTAAAATAAGGCAGACAATCCCCCGATCCTTAATTCAATCACATGTGCAAAGTTCTTTGGCCATATAACATTTTCAGGTTATAGAATTACGACATGAACATCTTGGGTGGAGGAATCTATTATTAATCCTAGGTAGTTTAAGAAGCTACATCATACAAATAAATTTGCAATTTATTTATATTTTTAAAAGATAAAAAGGACATTAGGGAAGAAATAAGATGGAAGAAATAGTGATAAATTTCTTTGAATATACTTTGGTTAATTTGGTGCTGGAACCACATGTTATATATTAAGTAATTTTAAATTTTAAAAAGTAATCCCATAAAATAAAAAATAAAATGAAATAAGTAGAGCTGAGGATGTAGCTCAGTGAGAGAGTTCTTGCCTGACAGGCACAAGATCCTAGGTTCAATACACAGCACCAAAACAAAATAAAAACAAATAAGAAAATCCACAAGTGAACCATTAATATGTCCAGTTGATGATGTAACTATAGAATACCTCTATTCTAAGTGAAATAAAAATATAGTAACTTGTGACTATACAGTCCTTACTAGGAAATATTTTAAAGACAACAGTAGAAAACTCTCTCCAAAATTTTTCAATAATCATATTCTTACAAGTAGTATCAGGATTACTTTGACACTGATGTGTGATATAAGAGGAAGCATATGCTGTTAACATTAATGAGAAATGGTATTTTTGATAAGGAGAACAAAGATACAGATGTGAAAATAATGATGTTAAATAAGCACCTTGCAATACTGAATTTAAATTCCAAATAGAAATATGAACACATGGGGCTGGAGTGGTGGCTTAGTGGTAGAGTGCTTGCCTAGCACATGTGAGGCACTGGGTTCAATTCTCAGCACTGCATATAAATAAATATAATAAAGGTCCATTGACAACTAAAAAATATCTTTTAAAAAATGAACACATGATGCCTTTTACTTAGCAACATCTTTATGCTCTGAAAAAGTGATCTGTAGTCCATACACTGAAAAGACCTGGGGCGGGGGGGAAGAACAAAAAAACCCCATCTACTATGGTTTGGGTGTGTCCCCTGGAAAGCATGGGTTGGAAACTTAACCTCCAGAGACATATGTAAATGGTAGTTGGAGGTGAGACCTTTGGGAGGTGGTTGGGTCATGATTCATCCATTCATTGATTAGTAGATTATTACAGGAGTAGCTTTATTACAAAAATGAGATCTCTCTGGCTTGTTACTCTGTCTCATCATGTGATGCCCTGTGCTGCCTTGGGACTTCATAGAGTCCTCATGAGCAAGAAGGTTCTCACTGGATGTGGTCTCTACTTTGGATTTCTAAGCCTCCAGAAATCTAAGCAGTAAATTTCCTTACAAATTACCCAGTTTGTGGTCTTCAGTTACAGCAACAGAAAATGATTAAGTACCGTGTACCTCTGATGTCCAGACTAAACCATATTTTCCATTGAAAAGAACCAGGGTTCCTTGGAAAAATAATTGATTTCAGGTATGGGGTAGAAAATGTACAAGATTAAACTACAAGGAAAGGAAACTATCAAATACTTATATCAAAAGCACAGACAAAGAACTCAGAAACTAGCTTGATAGGATTTCACTGGCCAAAGATAACAAAATTTGGATATTAAAAGGATACAACAACTACAGAGTACTGAAATACCTCAAATATGTTCCAAGTCCTAAGTTAATTCATAATAATACTACCAACAAAACAAAACCCAACCTCCCAGTCATCTCTGCACAGTATTAATGAATTACTTACTCATTACTATGAAAACTGGTTAAAGGGAAACAATCAAATTTGGTATTTTTTTTAGAAACTACTTTTCAGAGAAACCAAATAGTTGATAAGAGGGTGCGTTTTTGTGTTCTACAACTCTTTAATGAAGTAACGTTCTATGCAATGATTCTCAATGTCTGTTTATATCAGAGAAATATGGCATATTTCCTGAGGGAAGAACACAGTATCATTTCTAAAGTGGCTATCATAACATCAAACCAGAATTTGATCAAGCATCTAAATTAAACTACTAATATACAGAATACACAGGGTCAAAGCAAGATGATAAACAATATTAGCAAAAAAGCCTGACTGTGATCTCCTTCAGGACAGATCACTTGGTTATCTATCAAAAAAATTTTGAGCAAAGGAATGAAGATAGGGGAGTAATTTACAGATCACAACCTTATAATCAAAATCAATTTCTAAATAAACAAGGGACCACTAGAAAAATGTAATCATTAACTGGATATTTGAAGAATTCATAACTTGTTTTTCCACAGGCATGTGCTGCTGTTATATTAGTTAAAAAGTGACGTTCCTACTTTCAGAGATTAAAAGAGCAAGTTACTGATATGTGACAATGTAAAATGATTCAGTGAAAAGAATACATATTATATATAAAGAAGGAGAATTATAAATACAAAAAGTGTAGTCTATCGTACAGGTTAAATGTATATGCAAAACTACTTTTAATTTCGCAAAAAGAACACACAGTCAGCTATTTCAAATTTAAGTACCATATATGTATAAATAACTTATTCGTGCAGTATATAAATTTTAGCTCTAAATCTGATGGAAAAAGTTCTTTACTAATAAACATTTTTTATTTTATAAGGAAATTTGAATTTAACCACTCAAGGGACAATGGCAATGACATGGATTTTTCCACTTGGAGTGAAAATTAAAAGCTATCATTCTCTTCATGACTTTGTGCCCCTATAGCCTAAACTCACAATTTCTGGGGCATATTTCCATATCTCTGAATTTGCACTTTCCATTTTAACTGCAATTATTTTTGCTGGGCAAATTCCTACTCATCCTTTAAGATCCAACTTAAATGAAATGTCTATAGTGAAACTTTCTCAACCATCCCAGTTATAACAATGTTGCCAACAGTGCTTTTGATAACACTTATTTGTACTATGATTTATTTTTTGTGGGGGTCTATATTCTTAAAAGCTAGAAGTAATATTTGTATTTCTAGCTCCTAGTATATATATTTTCCCAGAGTGCTCAATAAGTATTTGCAGACTCAAACTCAACTTATTATCAATGTGGTACCTAAAAATTATGGCTTGAAAAGGTGAAAAGCTCTAAGAAGCCTTGTTGAACCTATCCTACTCAGAAAAGGTTCATTATTAAATTACGTAACAGTAATCCTACCAGCCAGATAGGGAACTGTGCTGCACACCATCTAAGTTCATTCAGTCTTCTACCAAAAAAAAAAAAAATTTTTTTTTTTTTTGGTGTACTCTAAGAACTTCATCTTACAGAATAACTCCTAACTTTTAAAATAGTCCACAAACAGTTTTAGCAGATTACAACACACTCTAAGAACAAAAACAAAATCAATAAAGAAAGAAAGGCTCAGGATGTAGCTCAGTGGTCAAAGACCTGGGTCTAATCCCCAGCACAGGGGAGACGGAGGAGAACAGGGAAGAGGATGGTGGGGAGGTGGTGGAATGTGGAGGGAGGAAGGGAATAATTAATTTAAATGAATGAAATAATCAGATAACTTAAAGAACTTCTTTGATGAAAAGATTTTATACTATGATCAAGTACACATACATGTATCATATACATAAATAACTGGAAACAATACTTACCCTTACTAACATGATGAAATCTGTATTTTACTAATTTTTCATTGAAAAGAAAACAAAAAAAACCCCACTGTTCAAGATGCACTAAAATTATTTTATGACCCCACTAGTGAGTTATAAATTAAAGGCTGATAATCATTGTCTTGCAGAAATTTTACATACTATTAATATAATCTGTAGGCTAGCTACATGTATAGTTTACAATACTAAACAAATCTATATATTATTTTCAATATATTGCAATATAATATCTATAATAAAATATGAACAATTAATACGAATTTTAAAGAACATAGAAATAAAATCTTTCCTAAAAAAAAAAGAATATTCTATTAAGACAAGTGCCTTAGTCTTGGAGCTCTGAAAAGTGACTAAAGGCAAAGGCTCTTGGCTGAGTAATACTAGTATTAAAGGAATTAAGATTTTTTAATTTTAACCAACATTCTTCTCAAGTTTTCCATCGAGTCTAAGAACACTTCATTTAAGAAGTTCAGTTCTACTTGCTGTTCATCCTAGTTATTGTGAGATGGTATGGCTTTAAAAGTAATTTTCATGGGGTGAACATCTGAAACTCAAATTTAAGATAGTTTATTCCCTTTCTAACAGATTTTTACTTCTAAGCTCCTACTACACAGAAAATCTATAGCAGTCACTAAGTTCAAATTGCTTTAAAAAAAAATCTTTTTCAGAGCCAAATATACAAATACTTAAATTTTTTTAAAAATTAAAAACTAATGAATGCCAAATCACATTCTCTAGCAATCTACTGTTAAGCAATGACATTCTTTCTACTATTTATATCAATTCTTGCGGTGTCATTGGATTCATATAAATATAACTTCGAACATAAAACGTTTTTGCTACAAGTTAGTGATTTCAGATGAAAAGTTTCATAAAACTATAGATGACAGAAATTTAAATATGAAAGCATTCTAAAACAAAGAACACTTTTGTATATCAAATAAAACTGCCATTTACTTTTTACAAGACTGCCACAGACACATGAAGTTCTGCCCAGGTTTTCTCATTGGATCTGCATGTTGACTGGATGCACTGAATGGAGAAGGCTGAGAACTGTTAGGCTGGCCCTGCACTTGTACAGCTGGTGAAGGTGGCATAGGAGTGTTCTGTGAAAAAGCACAAACAGAGTTTGTGACATGATACTGAAAAACAATAATATTTTATAGAACAGTTTTATAAGTTTGATTACAATATTTAGGCATTTCTAACAAAATTTACATTTTGTAATTTTAAGTTAATGATTATCTTTAAAAAGATGATATTTTTTATAAAATTATTTAGGAAGTATGATTCTTCTTTTTGGGGGATGGGTACTGGGGATTGAACATAGGGTTACCATTGAGCTACATTCCCAGTCTTTTATATTTAGTTTTTATTTTGAGACAGGGTCTCACTAAGTTTCTGAGGCTGGCCTTGAGCCTATGATCACCCTGCTGTAGCTTCTCAAATTACTGGGATTGCAGGTGTGCGCCACTGTGCCCAGCTGATTCTTGTATTTAACATGGAACCACAGAGGCAATATCACACATTATTGTTACCATTATCAAATACATATGGTAGTCCCTCAGTATCTGTGTGGGATTGGTTCCAGAATCCACAGATTAGTATTATCCATTGATGCTCAGTCCCTTATGTAAAAATGGCAAGTTAATTGCATATAACCTATGTACATCCTTGTCTATTTTAAGTCATTTCTAGATCACTTACAGTACTTAATACAATGTAAATGCTAAGTAAATAGTTGTTATACTGTACTGTCCATGGAGTAATGACAAGGAAAAAAAGTCAGTACATGTTCAATACAAATGCATTTTTTCTGATTATTTTTGATCTGAAGTTGATTAAATTCATGGACGTGGAACCGACACAGAGGGCAGACTACGTTACTTAAAATTCAGATTTTAGATAGGAGCAACCAATTAAAAATTTAAATGAGAAGTTCTATAAAAATAACCATGTGATTTACTTATGTCTGATCTTCACAACAACAGATTAACTGCAAATTCTTTTGAGTAATATTTTCTCTTAGGTTTCATAAGGAATAGCAAAGAAATAAAATACAGTAAAAAGCAAATAAATTTTCAGATGACAGTTAATAATGATATACCATATAAGCAGAATACCAAATACTAATTTGCAGTAAAATGTTTAACAATTTTAATCTTTACAGTTGCTCAATTAGAGCTTTTGATGGATAATACTAGTCAAAGGAGTCTAATTATAATGTCTTTTGAACATAACATGTTTATTTTCTTCTGTATCTCATCTCTTTTCTCTGAAAAACATTAAGAAATTTAATGTAGACTAAAATAATTTTAGGCAATACATTTTCTTCAAATACCTCAAAGGGAAAAAATACTATTGAATTTCATATAGAAATGGCACCACACCATTGTCAAGCATTACATTTTAAGCATTATTTTCAAGACAATATCTTAAAAAACTGGAAAAACACTGAATAAATTTGTAAGGTAATACTGAGATTAGGTGGACAAACACTAAGTTAAAACTGCTGGATACCTCAGATTAAAAATAATAATTAGAAAAAGACAAAACACAAACATATAAAGCTATAATATTATAACATACAAATGAAAGAAGAATAAAATGTTGAAAGAAAAAGTTCATGTCAAAAATGATAAGTCATAAGAATCTTTAGTAAGGTCTGGGGGTAAAATATACTTTGGGCATCAGACTAAAACTGTTACTATTAATAAGTTATCAACCTTAAAAGTTTTGTTAAAAGAGTCGATGAGAAAACATACATGCACAAAAAAAATTTAATGATAGTACAGATATAATGGATAGAATAAGGAATTTCTATCTTGACATGTCAATACTCAAATTTGCAATCTGCCTTTAAATTAGTCATGTGACTTGGGCAACCAAATTACCCTCACTGATCCTCAGTTTTTTCATCCATTTATGCAAGTAATAAAATTTAATTTACAGGATGATAGGAAGACTAAAGAAACTACATGAAGAGCCTAGCTCTAGATTCTAAATGATAATTATTATTATTTTAATACAGAAGTCCAGAAGGGAAACCATATTTTGAAGAATCGGGAGGAGAGGAAAGATGATGAGTTCATTATGAGGACAGTCTACTACCTGGTGTGGAGGTGGTTGCCTGTAATCCCAGCATGGAGGCTGAGACTGGAGGATTCCACATTCAAAGCCAGCCTTAGCAACTTAGCTAGGTCCAATTTAGTGAGACCATGTCTCAAAAATTTTAAAAAGTTTAAAAAGGGGCTGGGGATGTGGTTCAGTGGTGAAGTGCCTTTGGGTTCAATCCCCAGTATAACCACTCCCCCTCCCCGCAACACACAAAGTCTACCAAGTAAATACTAGAAACACATCTGAAAGTCTCTGCAAATTCTTAAAGTCATACAATTTCTGATGGTGGTGGTGGTGGTGGTGGGGGGCCGAGTCAAAGAAAAAGGAAGAAAAAATAACCTTACTATCAGGGTATTTATCCAAACAAGGAAGCAAACAAATAGAATCTAGTCCATCTGTTTTCTTAGAAATGAAAACATTGCATTAAAAAATACAAAAAATTCTAATAATTGGGTATTTTATTTATTTTTTTTTGATACTGGGAATTGAACTCATGGGTGCTTTTACCAATGAGCTATGTCCCCAGCCCTTTTTTATATTTTATTTTGAGGTAGGTCTCACTAAATTTTGAGGGTCTCACTAAGTTTCTGAGACTGGTCTTGAACTTGCAATCCTCCTGCCTCAGTCTCCAGAGTTGCTGGGATTGCAGGTGTGCACCTCTGCTCCTGACAATGATTGGGTATTTTGATCTCAAATATTACCAAGGGATGAAACAAGAATGCCTGAAGTAAATCTAATCTGTCAAGAATAAATAAAAGACATATTAATCAAATATAAAGTACAGGAAATTTAGGAGTATGCCAGAATTTTAATTAAAAAATAAATTTAACAAATTAATACATCTTAATTGATGAAAAAAGATCATATTCCATTTAAATGAAACTTCTGGTTCCCTAGACTGTTACCATTTAAATTAGGTATTTTATTGACTATTTTGCTCTATATTTATACATTAGGTTAATTTTATAAGTGCTAGCAACTTTCATCTTTTTGTTTATTTGTAATTTTGAAATACTTATTGGTGCCACAGAAAATACAGTAACTATTTTAAACTCAAATGTTACCAAGGGAATGTTCTAAACTGTTATTAAAAATGAGTGAAGGACATAGTAACTAAATGCAATGTACAGAAAATTTTAGTATTATAATCACACACTATTAAAAATGTTTTTTAAAGATAAGTAGGAAATACTGAACATAAACTGAGTATCGGATAATATTAAGAAATTATTATTTTTGTTAGGTATAATTTGGTATTTTTATTTTATGAATCGTTGAAAGTCTGTGTATACTGAAGAACATATATTGATGTTAAATAATATTTGGGATTTGCTTTAACATACTGAAAAATAAATTATGGTGATTGGGAATAGAGGGAACCAGAATGGCAAAATGTTGATAATACCTGAAATCAGGTTACAGATCAGGGGTTATAGGCTATACTTTTGCACTATATATATTTTTCAAAATACCAATTAAATAAGCCACATTTTAATTAGACTTCAATTTCTTCTGAAGTGTACAAGTTTATTTCCTCTGAACATTATGCTTTATTGTGAAATGTGAGAACATCAGCCATAACTATAATTCAAACATAAATGTAAAATGTTTCAAAGTCATGATTTTTTGCTCCCCTGGGGTTGGGGGTAAACCACCTCTTGCAGAAAATTTTACTCTGAAGGAGAGCTAGCTAGTTTTTCATACTGTACTTTTTGTAACCAAAGTAGAAAAGGTGTAACTTCAGTGAGTGACCAGAAACGTAAAATTACATAATGGATGTGAAACAATCCTATTGTTTCTTTTATAATTATAAAATTAACTAAAAATCTTAGTGAATGTAGCAGTTATAATTTTGGAAAAAAAAAACCCTACTGATTCTTTTTGTTGAAATAAATTATAATCTTGTTTTCCTTTTTTACTTTTTTCAAGAGTAAATTCTGGCTAAAAATTCTAGGTAACACTGATACTTGGATTTGATACTTTTAAATCCTTTCTTTTTAATATTAAACTTTAAAAACTTTGAATAGGACTAAAATTTGAAGATTTCAATCCTTATCAGGAAAGCCTCAAAGTTATAATCTATTTACTTCAATATAAATTCATAGCAGTAATCAAATACTGTGTTCAACTCCAGGTATATATTTAAAAAGACAGAGTGGAGTTGGTTGAGGCAAACTGTTGATTAAACCAGATACCAGGACACCTAAAATCAAATAGAAGTAATGGATGAATCATATTCTCCATAAGCACTCTACCACAGAGCTTCATTCAGAGCTGCTGATAAAGTGTATAAGATACCTTCAAAAGCTTGTAAGAAACAGAGTTAGATTTACTCTAAATGTGATGTAAAAGATTATGCTTAGCTTAAATGTACAGGTTTTTACAAAGCAGAATTGAGACAGTAACTGAAACCACTGAAAAAAATATTTTTGTGAGTGTGGGCAACTCACTTCAATTCTAAAAAATGAGAGCTTTGGACAATGTAACATCTAAGACTTTCTTGGCTCTAATTTTCCCTCATGTTTTTCTAATCTACAGGTTGAATATCCTTAATCTGAAAATCTCAAACTTGAAAAATGCTCAAAAATCTGAAACTTTTTAAAAATTCTACAACATGAAACTTTGTTTTACATACAAAATTACCTGCAGGCTATGTATACAAGGAATATATGAAACAAATGAATTTTGTGTTTAGACTTGGGTCCAATCCCTAAATTCTCTTACTGTGTCTATACACATATTCCAAAATCCGAAAAGGCTAAAAATCTGAAACACTTCTACTCCCTAGCATTTTGGATAAAGAATACTCAACCTCCATAAAGTTTTCCCTATTATTAAGTATAAATCTATATAATCAATACATACCAAACCTATTTTGTAATAATACATAGGGATCCAAACAATAAGGTTATGTTTAGTAAAAATGCCTTTCATAGTTTTTACAATGGACTATATTATTCAAATCTGAGCAATGGATTCATTTAAAAATGATATTTTGTAGTTCTTACTAAAATTATCTTCTATGGCTATGATTAAATGCTGCTACCTTGAGACTACAGATCTGTTTTCTAATGGGTTGAATAAATTTCTCAAGCTCATTATCAGAAAAAGGAAAAGCTCGAAAATACCAATATTCAGTGTTACACAGCCACATCAGGAATGATTCACATGTGAACAATGGGAAACCAAGGCAAGGTATATATAAAATACCTTAAATGAGTACATCTTTAAGTAAATTTTTATACAGAAGAATCTGATAAGTTATTAGATCATGGAATTAACACATAAATTCAACATGTGTTTTGCATAATGTTGAAAAAAGTCTTTAGGTAAATATTTTGTCTCTTTCATTTTTTACTTATTTTTGTTTTTAACTATGTCATTGTAGTTTTTTGTCTCTAGCAGATATCAATTCAAGAATAGTGGGTGAAGATAGGGCATTCGGAAATGGTATCTTATAAGTTGTATATAAACTTGCAAATATAACAGATATAAATAAACAGATGCAAATAATGAAATATGCCATGAAGTAGGTATAGTTTATTTTGTATTCATAAAACTGTAAATACTATTTAAATACAAAGTCTATGGTTGTATCATTTACATATATTCTTCTTTTACTTGCTGTAACTTTTCTTTTTTTTTTTTAGGTAGGGGGGTAGGTATTAGAGATTGAACGAAGGGGCATTCGACCACTAAACCACATCCCCAGCCTTATTTTGTTTTTTATTTAGAGACAGGATCTCAATGAGTTGCTTAGCGCTTCACTTTTGCTGAGGCTGGCTTTGAACTCATGATCCTCCTGCCTCAGCCACCTGAGTCACAGGGATTATAATCATGTGCCACTGTGTCCAGCTGCTGTAACTTTCTTTAAATTAAATTAAATTAATATAGCTGATTAACAGAGGCAATAAGGAACAAAATCAATAAAAAATTAATTAATAATGATATTGAGAAGGATTACCTATTAGCTTTTCTTAGAAGGCATACTTCAATCTTTCCAGCCCTGAGCATTCTGCAAATCTAAAAGTTCATATTGGGCACTAAGTAACTCCTTAATATTCCTAGATCTCTTGAAATATTAGGAATAACACATATGACTGAAAAAAAATCAGATCAATGTTAGGCTCCTTTAAGCTACCAATTCAAATGGTGAACAAAATGGTATTAAACCAAGGTCTCACATGCAACTTAAAGAATATATGAAGAAATTTAAAGAATATGGGCAACAATGGAAATGGTTTTCTAATATCAGACTTATCTTACATGTGAAGATAAAATATACCTGCACTGTCAATGAATACCATGTGGTAAGGACTATGCTAAGTTTTATACATAAGAATCCAGGTTTTGATTCTCATTTTCATAAATACCACACATGCCACATCTCTTGCAAAGTTTTAAACTCTGCATGCCAACCAAATATCAATTTTAGAAATAAAGAATGTTGCTGCTGGGTTTTTGTCTTCTTCACCTTCTCCTTCTCTTTTATTTTTGCTCTTTTTTTTTTTTTTGTGCTGGGGATTGAACTCAGGGCCTTATGTGTGCAAGGTAAGTGTTCTACCACTGAGCTCAGAGTGTAGCTATTTTAAATAAACTACACTTTTGGGGAAAATGGGTATAAGTTTAATATAAATTTCTCAGATTGGAAACAAAATGTATTCACTTTAATGGTCTAAATCACATGCATATCACGTATGTGCTAATAGTTTTAGCATTAATGTCCTAAAATGATAATTTGGTTGTATGATCATCCTACCACACAACAGTTCAAATAATCAAAGATAGAAAAAGGGCTTTCTAGAAATTTACGGAGAAAAGTTTTAGAATAGTGGAAAAAATAAATGTTACTGGGTTAAGAGTATTAGTTTTGGTTTTAGGCCTGACACTAATCTTGGGTGAGTTATTTAGAATCTTGCAACCTCATTTCTAAAATGGTGATAACAATTTTTACTTAATAGGATTATTGTGTGAATTAAATGAGAAAATACTTTAGTTCTAAGCCCCTAATATAGGTTATAATCTTAGCTAGAATTGTTGCTCATTCTTTTTTTTTGAGATATCATTATTGAATATAACCACACTGGAAGATCAGAGTCACAAAAAATAAGGATAAATGAAACAATTCCATAGTCAAGACTTGGTATATCATTACTATTTAGAATTCTAACATACTCTAAGAGGAAAGAAGAGTTAGGCATATAATCAAGATAAACTGAGAAATTAGTACATGTAAGAAAAATATAAAAATTCATCTTATTGAATGTCTACTATATATACAACATTGCACTATTTAAGCAAAAAGTTCAACTTGTGGAAGCTTGTTTGAGTAAAAATGATTTTCGCTCCATCATTCATATTGTATTGCCACATGTGTAGCACTGACTAAAGAATGTACAACTTAATTACTTTGAAATAGATCTAGGCAATATGAACATATAAATTAAAATCCTATTATACCTCAAAGCAGCACAATCCAACTTTATCTATTTACATGGAAAAATACGCATATCTGTGTAAGAACTGGTCTGAAGCAAGGGACTCTTCTTTTTATTCTTGCATTTTTCGTTTTGTTGTTACCCATACCTGGATTTGGTACTAATGCCAACAATGCTCATAGATCTGCTGACATCACTGTAAGCATAAAGAAAAAATCCAAGCCAAAGGAGTGCTAGCAGAGTTTTCAATAGTCACAGAAGGTTCTGGTTATGCACTACTAATTAGAAGAAACAATAAAAGAGAAGTGATCCAAAAAATAGGTGGTGGTAACTGTTAAGTAAATGCATAATTTCAGTAGAAATAGCATGTAGGACGGTCCTCAGAATCTTTACAGGCTGATTGGATCCTTAATTCAGTAGAATGGATCCTAGAAAATATTTTTATCTACTACTAGGATATGTAGAGATGGAGAGTAAGAAGGAATTAAAAAGGAAACTGCAGAGCAAAGGAGTAAGAAACACAAAGTAAAAATATCAGAATACCTGAAACAAAGTGAAATTATAAGCAATACTTCTTTAAGAATAAAGAGAACTAATTCAATACATAAACATTGCAAGAACATTCTTAGAGTCCTTATAGGATTCATCCTTTAAAAAAAAAAAAAAGACTGTTAACAGAGCCACAAAGAAACATAAATATCAAATCCCCATTCAGAGTTCTCTTAGGAAGTTTCCCTTACCATCTACATTAATCTAACATACATTTTTAAAATTCTTCAAAAGATGTTAAAAACTGTTTCTCTACCTTGGGCCTACAAAATTACGAATTTCAGTCTAACAAAACTGAAAGATTCATATTACCATATATAAAAGTTAACAACTGCAAACTATTTATTATTATAAAACCAGAAGAAATAAGCATGACAGTTTAAGTAAGCTGACACAGTAACTTCTCAAGGTAAGACATGAAAAAAAATAGTGAATTTCCCCCTAAACTCATATTTACAGATCAGAATTTTATAAGAGAAATATAACAGTAGAATGACTTACCTGTGGGACCACATTCTGTATATATGTTGGTGGCTGCTGCTGCTTTTGCTGAACAGCACTTTCTATTGCTACTTTAGCTACAGTGCTTGGATCTGCTCCTGCTGGAACAGCAACCATTGTTGCACTGCAGCCAGCATTGTTGGGGTCACTGATTGTAACAATTCTAACTCCTACTTTATTTGGAATTCCTGCAACTGTTTCCCTATCATTATCCTCCGCTGGCCTCTTTACAGTTTTGCATTCTGCTGTGCCATTTGTAGACCGAACATCTGATGATAGGACAGGAGAATGGGACACTCTTGATCCTGAGTGGGGAACTGCTATGATTTGATGCCCCTGTATGACAGAGGTTGTAGAATGTGGTGAGACAACTACACTTGGGCGTTGCTGAGGCACATCTGAATTCAAACTTGAAGTTAGAGGTCCATTAGGCAAATCAGTACCACTAAATTGCTGTATTGCCGCATTTGAAGCCTCCTGTATACTGCTCATAGATGGTGAACCACCCAAAGTTAATACAGGTCCATTAGAAATTCTTTCTAGCTGATCACCTTTGGCAGTATCTTGCTGAGTGGCATCTAAAGTTCCTTGTGGTTCCACTGGAGATATCTCACCATTTCCTACATGATTGGAAGTTTTGTGATTTGGAATGTTTTTGCTTAAATGAGAACCATCTCCTTTATCAAAATCACAGATTCCATTTACTAGGGTTTTTTTCAAATCACATTTGATATCCTGTATGTCCATTTGTTCTGAGTTCTGTTTTCCAGATGCTCCATTCTCACCTAATTCTAATGATGGTCCATTACTGATTAGTGAGCACTGATTGACCTCACTTTGAATTTTCCCTGAGTTTGAAGGAGGTAGACTTGAGTCACTGTACTTTCTCCCATTTAAAAGACTTCCCACCTGCATTTCATTTTCTTTTGAATCCCCATTGCTGGTGTTTGTGGTTCCTCGTCGGCAGGATGGGTTTTCCATGACTTCAATTTTACGTTCATGAACATGTAAACCTGTTGCTTCTTTTGCTTCCTCCTCCTTTTGGCAAATTATTTTATCACCTTTGAATGGGGGAGTAGCAGTAGTACATGATGATTGTCCAGCTGGAGATGCTTGAGTGGCTGGAAGTGTTTGTACCTGAAGTCCAACTCCTGCCTGTGTTCCGCTCATCGTAATTCCCGCTGGAGCAATGAGCTGAGTTGCATTTCCCTGACTCACAGTTGCAGTTGCAAAACTTGTATTTGGCACAACTGTTATGGTTACCTGGTTGCCAGAAGTTCCTTGGAAAATGGTTGCTGGGCTATTTGAGATCAGTGGTCCTGGCAATATTTGTAAGTTTGAGATGGGCACAGTTTGCACTCCCCCTGTGGGTGGCATTGCACTTTGGACCAACTGAACATTTTGCTGCCCAACCAACAGCTGCTGAGCTGGAGTTTGCCCCTGGACTCCAAAACCAGCTGCTTGGTTATTAGCCACCTGATAGACCACCTGAGGGCTAGGAGCTCTTGCATTATTAGGGGGAGGAATCTGTGGAGCTGGGAGGATAAGTTTACCACCTGGAGTTGAAGGACCACGCTTTGGAAGTAGCAGCTGTTTTATCAGACTTGACTCACCAGAAGCAGGCTGACCAACTCCTGCATTTGTTTGCTGAGGCTGAACTTGCATCTGTACTTGTTGTGGCTGCTGAACTTGTACCTGTACCTGTTGTGGTGGGGGTGCTGGTGAATGCTGCTGCTGTTGCTGCCTTTTCACAGATAGCATTTGACTGACAGTAGGAGGTGGTCCCTGTGATTGAGGGGTGGAAGAAGATGGCATGGCAGTAGGAACTTGGTTATTGGTAGTTGGGACAGGTGATGGTGAAGAAGATGGAGTTATGCTTGGTTGTCCAGTTAGCTGAACTGTCTGACCAGCTGGAAGAGCTGCTGGATTAGCAAGAACAATTTGGTGAATGGCTGGTGCATAAGTTTGACCTTGTTGAGTTGGCTGGCTTACAATCACTACACTTTGTTGGGTTGGCTGCTGTGGTTGTTGAATAGGCTGTTGTACCACTGTTGATGAAACTTGCTGAGAAGGGAGAGGTTTTGGTGCAATGTTCTGAAATCCTACCCTTGAGGGTTGTGGACTTGGGACACCAGCAATGGTAACCATTTGTCCTGTAGCTACCTGAAAATTCTGTACTGAAGTTGCTGAGACAATGTTGGATGCAGAAGTTGTTACATACTGTGGGGGTGCTATGATAACAGTGTCTTGTGGCTGGCTACCAGCTGATGTCTGTTGAGATGAAGATTGCACAGGTTGGGGTGATGTGGTGATTAACTGTTGACCCTGTGAAACTGTAGAAGTACATGCTGGTATGTTCTGTACTCTGCCAAATATATGACTCTGTGGGACTGCTTGTTGAATTACCGTAACAGGAGTGCCTGAAGGTATTTGTCCTGGTACCACCGTGTGTAATGGAGACGGTTGTGGTATAACAGATGGGTGGTGAAGCAATGTCTGAGAATTCACAACTGTAACAGGTTGTGGCCCTGTACTATGATTCTGAACCACAGAACTCTGTGTAGGTCCTCCTCCAACAGCAATACTAACAGGAACTGCTGTCTGGGGTACAGAATTCTGGATTACAGTAGCCTTGACCACTTCACAAGAAATTGGAGTTTTATTTTGAATGACAGTCACTGGAGCATTTTGCTGCTGGTGGGTATGAAGTGAAGGATTTGGTGGAATTCTTGGAACAGTCTGTGCCACAGTATGAACACCTTGTACTGGAAAAGACATTTGTGTTGCAGTCAAATTTGAAGATTGGTTGGTAACAGGAGTCCTCTGAAAATGATTTCCTACAGTTTGTGATCCATGAGGGATTCCTGAAAATATAGGGAAAAAGTCAAAATTCCAAATGAAATTACTGAAAAACTGCCAAGAGGAATATTTTACTTAATATAAGAAAAAAATAGTTTCAAGAAATACATGTCCAACAACTTCAAAACATATGAATGTGATAAAATAAAAAACCAAATAAGAAAATGCTATTGGAAAAACAAGGGAAAGCTATAGATTTTAAAAGTATAAATATTACTAATTTAATAAGACTGAATATATATTCAGTTTTATTAATTTAAAACCCAATAAAATTAATACCTGCAGGTGAAGGAGTTGGAGATACATCAGGAACAGAATCAACACGAACAACAGGAGTAGAAACTGGTTGCTGCTGATAGTACATCTGAATGGGAAGTGGGATAGCCCTCCGTTTTACTCCTACCACATGGATATGAGCCTGCCCATTGTTACTGGAATCTTCCACTCTCTTCACTGTATGGTTTGGAAAAACTGTTCTGTAAAGTAATATACATTCAGTTAAGTTACAAGAACTAGCACACTGGTAAAAAGCACTGACTTCTAATGTTCATGGAAACAACAGCAGTACATTCCCTGCTACTTACGTATGAACCAGCATGTCATAAAAGTTATATTCTGTAAAGGTGGGAAGCCAAGATATAGATGAACCCTCCATTTAAAAAAATCTTTATTTGTTAACAGCATTACTGAGTTTTAAACAACTCTATCCTATATATAACAGCTTTTCAAAATACTTATTTATGAACAGTGAAATATCAAAGTCTTGATACTTAAAGACACAGTATTAAATATATTCAAGGTTAAAAATTTCTAAAGTCTTTAACATGTAAAAGTAAGTAACAAAAAACCCTTAATTTCTTCTTCACTTTTTTTGATAAACCTTGTAATGTTCCAACATAAACACCAGATGCAATTTATGAAATTGCCTTGTATTTAAAACTCCTCTACATTACAATCTACTAATGAAATTTCAAGTAGTAGAGATATGTAAAAGTAGATAGATATTTGGAACTTTTTTCAAAATAGCAAGAAGATTGGAAGTGATGCAAATGAATTTTATTTAAAGAACTATGCATCCTACCTAAGACATTTATAAAATCCAGTTGATGTGAGGATTCCACCACGAGCTAATTTACTACAAGTTGAGAGGTATTCGGAATACATTTCTGCTCGAGAGACAGAACAATCTGGATTTACTTCAAAATGAGCATTTAGCCTAAAACAGGAGAAAAATAAAGGCATTATACAACATATTATAGGAAACTCCACATTGAAATATATTAAAACTCTTTGAAACAATTTTATAAACTAATAATTAAACATCACTACCTCATTCTGTTAGCAAAACACAGGCTAGGTTTTAGATTAAATCAAGAGATTATCACTCTATTATAATGTTAAAAATATTATTAAGAACAAATATAAACTGGGTGCAGTGGAGCATGTTTACAATCCCTGCTACTTGGGAGTCTGAGGCAGGAGGATTCCTGGGTAACTTGGCAAGACTCTGTCTCAAAAATAAAAACATAAGAAGGGCTCACTGAAAGAGCACTTGCCTCTGGGTTCAATCCCCAGTATCACACACTAAATCAATCAATCAATGAATAAAGTTTAAAATTTAAAAAAAGAACAAATATAAAAACTATGTTCACACCCTAGCAAGAGCAGGGTTAATTTGTTGGCAACAACTGCTTTATAAGAAATAGTTTTAGTTAGTGAATATTTACTTGGGTTCCTTGTCTTATAATTATTATAACAGACGTTCCTAATTATGAGTTATTTGCATTGCAGTTAAAGAAAATGGTGGAAAAACTGAACTAAGGTTAAACTTTTTCTGACTCTTGATCAAATTTTTTCAGAAAAAACTTTACAAAGCTTTTCAACTACTCCCTAAAACAATGACAATTACCAACCTGTATACTCCCATTCCTTCATTTCAAAATACTTCTATTTGCTAACTCCTTACAAACTAACTCAAACATCAATTTGTCTTCTTCTTACAGTAACTTCCATCTATAAGGATAGAGGATTTGTTATCCTAGTGTATCTCTTTCTAGAAATCATTAGGCATAACAGGCCAACTTAGGTTATTCTTATAAAAAATGATGCCTATGATAAAATAACTATAAAGTAATTTTCTTCCTCTTCTCTAAGAAGTGGTAGAAATGTACAACTGGGATTTAAATGAATAGTTCTGTGCCAAACACATGTGGCACACGCTTTGATAATCCTCTTTGTACAAATGTTTAAAAAAACCTAGATATAAAAAAACTTCATTTTGGGTGCAAGGTAGAAGGCAAACATTTCCAAATATTTGTAAAGACATTCTTTAAGCATAGGGGTTAATGTCTGACATTAGAGAAGGAGAGAAAAGGGCAAATAATTAGATACTTAAAACCGTAAACCTGATTTAAACAAAGTAGAAGTGTGGAGAAAACAATCATAGGAAAAAGGATACGAAAACACCAAAAATATGAAACACAGAGTGACAAGAATATGAAATAAGGGACAAATAATATTAGAGAATGGAACAAAAGGGAAAAAGGAAAGAAATATTATAAAGGGTTATGTCATTAGAAATGTGATTTTTTTATTTCAATAAGTTGAGTTTAAAAAATTTAAATTACTTCATAAATAATGTTGAGACAATGCTCCATGACAAAATGAAATCTAATTAACTGTACATTTGTTTGTTCAGAAAGTGGCTGAGATATGACTACTCAATGTTCTCAAGAAAATATCACTGACAAGTTGCTTATTTTAAGGTAGTTATACTGGCTATTCTGTCTTTTGATTAATTTCCCCTTATTACTCAACAAAATGGAAAAATTAACTGTCAATGATTAAGATAATTTGGTATAGATGGAAAAGAAGGAATGTTTAACAACAAAACCTTGTTTTATTTTCTTAAAGTTAGTTCAGTTCACTTTTAAGAAAACATTAATTTCAGAAGAATGAACTTTGTAATTTATATGATAATCAAATATTATTTTCTATAAAAGTGATATACAACTTTTTAACTTCAAAGAAAGGAACTAAATGGTATAATTAAATGAAATTCCAATTAGATTATTTTAATTCTGAAAATTCTGATGAATTTTTCGAATTATTCCAAAATATAGGTAAAGCGATTTTATATTTTCCTTTTTTTTCATATAAATGATATTCTACTCTAACACAAATATATACATAAACACACACACACACACACACACACACACACACACACTCTAAAACATTCTGGATGACTGTTAGATACATTTCCTTTTTTCTTTTGCATATTCTTCCCAATGATAAAACCTTAATAGAAATAAACCACTTACCATTGACAAGCAAACTTCTCACTATCTATTTCCACTATTCCTGGAGGTGGAGCAACATGTTGTGCTACAACTGCTCTGGAAGCTAAAAAAAAAAAAAAAATACATTAGCTACATAATTTAAAAGAATTTTTAAAAATTTAATTATTGGAACTATGTGATTATCTTTTAAAAAGGCATAGTAACATAAAAATATACAAATTTGATAAACTAATATATAATGGAACATATATTATACCAGGCACCATCTTTAGAAGGTTCATATTTGTTTAGTCTTTACAATCATTCAAATAATAATTATATATGGTTGATTTAACAGATAATTTACAATCTGTTTTCCCATGGGGCCAATCACTGACTAAACATTTTAAATATATTATCTTACCTAATTCTTCTGTGAGGTAGGTACAGCTAAAGAAACCAAAATTCACGTGGTTTAATTAGGCCTCACACATAACAGGCATTTCTCAGCTAGTTACAGAAGCGTGATGCATTAGAAACTATAATTTTACTTCTTAATTTAAAAGGTCAGTATTAGCCAGGCACTGTGGCACATGCCTGTAATCCCAGTGGTTTGGGAGACTGAAGCAGGAGGATCATGAATTCAAAGCCAGCCTCAAAAATAGCAGACACTAAAGCAACTCAGTGAGACCCTGTATCTAAATAAAACACAAGATTGGGTTGGGAATGTGGTTCAGTAGTTGAGTGCCCAAGTTCAATTTCCGATATCAAAAAAAACAAAACCAAAAAAAGGTCAATATTAACTCTATAAGATTTCTGTGGTAAAATGAACAAAAGCTAAACTAATTTAGAGTCTCACATTCTAGAAAGAATTCCCATAGATTATTCCTTTGGGAAGGGGACAAAAGGGAGAGATGTGTTGTAATAATAATTTTGACATATACTTTTTGAAAGAGGAAACATAGTTGTGTAAAAATACTGAGACACATAGTTTCTAATATTTCACATAAGACATTTTAAAATAATTTCAAGGCCAAAGAATGAATATAAATGAAGCTAAAATCATCATTATTTTTCCAACAAGTTGAAAAGATCTGTAGAAAAATGAATGTTTTCCCTTATACTAAACAAAGAATTAAATGACAATGTGAAAAATAGAAGATAAAGTTATACTATATCAGTAAATACAAATAAACATAAAAATATAAAAAGTAAGTTATTCAATGTCATCATTAAATTGGCATGACAATGAAGGTTTTAAACATATGGAATATATCCCCCCCTTTTTTTCCAGATGACATGTTAGCAAAATTTCTCAGAACACTTAACACAGAACTAACACATTTTCAAGTTACTAGATTTAGAAGAGTTCCAAAGTACAGCAGAAGCTGAATGATTTGAAGCAATCATGACATTTGATAAGAACCCCAGGCTTTGGTATAATAACTAAGAACAGCTACTCAACGAATACTTCCACTTAACAAATATTTCTACTTAATGATTATTAAGCCATTTTTATTTATATTATTTACTTTAATTTCCTTTGTAAGTATAAGTTTAATTATCCCTATTTTACAAATTAGAAAACTAAATTTCAGAGATTAAATTCACACAGGACCACACAATAGAGAGAACTGGATGTAACTAGAAAGCTTTCTTTTAGAAGAGCTGGATTTGAATTTAGGTTGCCACATTTCATCAGCCATACTGTGATATGCTTCTTAACTGAATATGAAAAAACAACCAAAATCCTCTTTTTGGAAATTCCTCCTTATCACTTCTTCATTTAACTTGAAAACACTATTACAGAAAATATTCTTCTAGGGGTTGAATAGAAAGAATCTTCTTCCCTTTTCTTTATCACTTGCAACATAAATGAATATATACTGTATTCAGACTTAAATTGTCTGAATTGATTAATAATAATAAATTCATAAAATATTAGAAATTATGCTAAAACTATGAGAAGCCTTATTTATAGTACATAAAAAATAGTGTAACCACAATTAAAAATGAAACTGGAAATGTACAATTACTATAAAGAATCTATAAACTGAGAAGCACTTCCCATGATACCTGAAGACATACCAAATGATACAAAAGCACTTTATATCTTGAAAGGAATCAATTTCCAGATACTCAACTTTTCTATGTATTCCTTACTAAAACTGCTTTGCCCAAGGATATCATCTCCTTGTTGAAAAAGCTGCTTTCTCCCATTTTGAAACAGAAAGGCTTACTTCTCCCTTACTTATTATAGCACTGCAGGATTAAGAATTAAGATTAAATGCATTACTCTGGCACCCAGAAAGGCTGGCTCCAGAGTTCCATCACTCACCAGCAATGTAACCACAGAAAAATTTCTTAAATTCTGTCTATAAAATGGGGAAAAGTAACAGTACACTGACCTCATAAGGTTATTATGAGGATTAGAGGAGTTTATTTATAAGTCTCTTTAAAGAAAGCCTGGTACTAAGTAAGTACTGAATGAATGTTTGTTAGCTATTATGATTTTAAAACTTCTGGTGCACCAAAAAGAGAATTTAAAATATTAGGGTTCCCAAAGTCTCATTAAATAAGTCTCATAAAATAAGGTATTATGATAGGGCTTCCTGTCAATCCCAGTGTTTTACATAGTACAGTTAAAAAACAATGCAGGCATTAGGAAAATTAGAAACAGGTAATTCTAGACCTTTAGGGTTATAAATTATGAATTCAGATATAGTGATAACAATATTCTTTATGTGTTTGCCTCCTCTATCCCCTAACTACTGTTAAAGAATGTATTACTTCTGAGGCAAAATATTGTATAAGGAAAACACAGAAAATATTTTCACGAAATTATTTAAAGTAGTGGTATCTGATTTCATTCAAATGACAAATTCATGGCAAACTGAACTCTCAGAATTCTGTGTAAGAAAGGAGTGATATGTATTAACATACTTTTACTAGCTGATAAAGTTGGACTTTGGGCTGGGGTTGTGGCTCAGTGGTAGAGTGCTTGCCTTGCATGTGTGGGGCTCTGGGTTTGATCTTCAGCACCACATAAATAAATAAAATAGAGGCACTGTGCCATCTCCAACTAAAAATTAAAAAAAAAAAAAAAAAGTTGGATTTCCCCAAAGTAACAGAAAGCCAGTCTGATTAAGCAAGAGAACTTTGGAAATAAAAATCAGCTTTTTTATTGGGCTAGGGATGTAGAGTTCAGTGTAGAATACATGCTTAGTAAGTGTGAGGCCCTGGGTTCAACCCCAGAACAAAAAGAAAAGTCAAACAAGGAAACAAAAAACAGCTTTATCAATTAGGATGTATAGTAGACATTTTTCATATGCTGAATAAGGTAAATCTGCAGTGCCAAGATTTTCACAAAAATGTATTTAAAGCTCATGATACAAAGCACTTTATAAAATGTCAAAACACCGTATTTACTGGTCTTGAATTGAATAATATATCAATTTTCCTAATCCAGTGATCCTCAAAGTATAAACTCCAGACATTAACATATGGGATTATATCAGAAACAAACATTCTCAGGTCCTCCAATTGGGAAATTCAGAGTATGGAACCCAGAAATCTGTGCTTCAAGTAAACCTATGAACAGGTGATTTTGATGCACACTCATCAAGTTTGAGAACCACTATACTAAAACTTCTTGAATATATTAACTCACACAAGATGGCACTAAGTAAAGGAGTAGCAAGTATAATATATAGTCATATTTTCTTAATATCTTTTTGATATATTTTCTAAAAACTAAAATAAATCTAAAGAGAGGGCAACAAACACTCTCACAAGTCTGGTACTTGATAATTCTTTGATTTCAACAAAAATAAAGAGCTCTAGTGGTCAGATGGTCATTAAAAGTTTTAAAACTTTTTGGATAATTCTGAATTAGTTCAAATAATTATAAATTTTATCCTCATCCATTAATTGATTGATTGATTAAGTTTTCAATCTTATGTAGTCATCAGGGATAGAACTGATGCTAATTGCAATTTCATTTCAGTAGTAAATAACATTCAGATACACTGGATTAATAACTTTTAGAGAAACAGGGAAGAAAAGTTCCATTTATCTCATAAAAAGATGTACTTGCATAAAATGTATTACATTAGGATAAAAATTCTGTAAGGATATTAGAATAAATGCAAGATGAAAAAGGGATATTGTAAAATTTCTAATATTAAAGTCCACACACATGTGCATGTGTATTTTGGGGTTGAGTCCAGGGACTCATACATGCTAATTACATTCTCCACCACTGACCTACATATACTCCTAGCACATGTGTGTATTTTTTTAAGTAAATGATGGTAACCAGACTCCGATGGATATAGAGAGTGTTTTAATGATTTTTTAAAAGTCAGTTTAGGAGGCTGGGTGTGTAGCTCAGTGATAGAGCCTTTGCCTAGCATGCAGGAGGTCCTGGGTTCAACCCCCAAAAGCAAAAAAAAAAAAAGTTTGATATATTTCAAGAAAATATTTTCTTTGTATCTATTATAATTTAGATAAAACTTAGATATCAACATAAAATAGGTAAATAAAAAGCTTTCATAGTGGGCTGGGGTTATGGCTCAGCATGTCTAGCGTGTGCAAGGCCCTGGGTTTGATCCTTAGCACCACATAACAATAAATAAATAAAATAAAGGTATTGTGTCCAACTACAAATAAAAAATAAAATATTTTTAAAAAGCTTTCATAGCGATGGGGAAAAAAAGCAAAAGTTTGAATGACTATTCCATATCACATAACATTAAAAAAGGTAAAAAGTCAAACAATAAGGTAAAAAGTCAAACATTTAAAGATATAATTTACAATACACATAAGTACTAAAGTGCTCTCTAGCTCAAAAATTAACTGCTATATTCCTTAAAGCCCATTTCCATCTCTATCAATTAATTACTATATAAATGAATAAGCCACAAACACTCAATTTTTCATTTGGACATTTTCCAAATATGAATTAGATGTTAGTTTTGTGGATGGGTTCCTCTTTTCAGGTCAAAAGAACTCTTAAGGTCAAAGGCCAATTGAAGGCAAAAATAGTAACTATCATCAAAATCATACCTGAATGAATTCACTGACAATTTATCAGTTCCTTTCTTTGTTAGACATTATTTCTCTATGGCCCTCAATTAATTTAATCCTCAGTTTCTTTGAGGATAAAAACACATCTCTACACCCACTAAACTGGCAACATGATCCATTTTGCTTCGTTGTAAAGGCTCAGAAACCATTAATACTCCGATTGAATATGTTTTAGCTGATTAACATCTGTTTCCTGTGGGTAAAAATTCATTGAGTACACTGACAATTGAAATTATCTATTTTTCCCTTTTATTTTATTCAGTTTTGTTCATGTAGGTTAAATGCACATGATGCAATTTTATCAGATACTTACAAGGTCCTAATGGAAACCCAGGAAATATAACTCTTACGTACTTTGCATAGATACTTTGTATAGAATTTTAATACTGTGAATTAGAATAGGGGATGGGGTGGGACCATGACTGAATGTGAGGAGAACATTTACCTATAGAGAGATGACTCTCCTAAGAGTCATTAGCACTGGTAAGGGAAAAAATGAGAGTATTTAAAAAAAAAAAACAAGGTTTGGTGAATATGCTGATGTGATAAAGATTAAAGACAATGAAAATTTTGGTTTGGGCACAGTGAAGGTGAATGAGAAAGAACCTGTTAGCATTTCTAGCTACAAGGAAGAAGTAAAAAAAAAAAAAAACCAACAAATTTGATGATCATTATTACCCAAAGTACAGGTATGAAGACGTGAGTTGGTGTGAATATACTTTGTATACAACCAGAGATGTGAAAAATTTGCTCTATATGTGTAATAAGAATTGTAATGCATTCTGCTGTCATATAAAAATAAAATAGGAAACAAAACAAAAAATAACTGATACTTAGAGCACAGATTCAGAAGAGCATCTCTTTTCTGACACACGGGGAAGTTGAAGGAGAATAAGTTCTGATGCTAGTAAATTTGTAGTAAAGTAGCACAAAATTTAAGAAATTCATTCTACAGCCTCCATATTAATGAACTGCAAAGTGAAAAGTGAGATCAACTGAGAAAATAAGCATCATCTATAAAAAAAAATTTAAAAACCACAGGAAAAGTATCTTGGGGTTAGTATCAAGTGAAAGGGTAGAAACTGGAAAGGCAGGTGAAGTAAAAGATGAATTGCTTTTGTTAAGACAAATGAAAGACGGAGGACTACAAAAAGGCTAAGTGCTAAAATATAAAAATGATGACTCAGAATGTGCCAGGAGAAAGAAGTCCAAGGATGAAAGAGAAGGCTGGTTGTTAGACAGTCTGCACTTAGAGCCATTTGGGTTAAACAAAATTGAGCCATAGGACTCTACACATGTATAGATAGATACACATGCTTATGTATGTGTGTGTGCATATGTCTGCTCCCAGGATGATTCTGTGGTAGTGGAGCCAAGATTCAGGGGTAATATACTTGTGTATCCTCATCATTACTCAAATGAATTATAAGGTGATATATATAATTAACATATTCCTAGTATGTCAGTTTCCCAGAACAACAATTACAAATAATAAGCCCAGTAGCATACTTAATGCTTGTGCAGTTGTGAATACCTAATCCCTTACAATTCTCTAAATCCTTCTCAACTTGATTTCTATACTATTCTTCTTCTTTACTCTTCTCGATATTAATACTCCTGGAATGTAAACTATCTAAGAAATTGCATATCCAAATTGTCCTTTACCTATTCTATTGTAAAATATCAGGTCTTCGTACAAAAACTTTAAACCGATTCTCAGCATTAAATCTTACACCCATAAGCACACTGAAAAAGAATATATAAAAACACTAACCTGGGGATGATGCTACATGGGTCTGGGTTTGGACTTGCTCTATAGCTTGTGGCCTAATTTCAGATAAAACTTGGTGATTGGAACTTGGATGTTCGACGAGTTTTACTGCTGCTAGTGCATCAGGGCCAAACATCTGAATATCCATAGAAACCAGACAAACTAACATGTCTAAAAAAAAAAAAAATTATCAGTCCATTGTATTACAAAACAATGCCATCTCTGGAGGATATATATACAGAATACTGCTTCTCAAATGCCAGTCATAGTACATCAGAATTACCTATGGATCTTAAAAAACAACAACAGCAACAAAATCACAATCTCAATTTGTTTAGTAGTTCTGAAGTGGAGACTAGGTATCTTTCAAAAGGTTCCCAAGTGATACTGGTGTGTAGCTGGATTTAAGAATTGTTGATATAGAAAATGACAACTTAATTTCTTAATAATGACAGTGTTCAAGCTAAATCTGATTTTAGTACTTATTCTCAAGAAAGATATCATTTTAATCATTGAGTTAAATATTAACATGGCATCCTTTAATAAGTATGTTTATAATGGACTATCTTTAAGGAGGTGAGTTCACTGATTTTTAAGGACAGCACTATTACCAGCAAATTCTAGAAATGGAGGCTTACTTTACTAGCTTTAGGTATTCAACAGTAGAAGCTGACCATTTGAAACTGAAAGACCTACTCCCAAAAAGTCAGACATAGGAGTTTTGTCCTTTTAAAATTTAAAATACAATAGATATAAAAAATAGTAATTACTGTTAGCCATATAATCCTGTTCTTCCATCACAGATGTATCTTACTTGTCTAAAAGAGGCAGAAGAGTAAAACAGTGTTTTTGAGAAGGTAATATTCCTCAAAATTAAACAGAAAATCTCAAATACTGAATAGTTTTTTATACAGCACATTATATATTTTTCCTAGGTGAAGAAAATAATTTACAAGATTTTTGGTCTCATCTTACCAATGCTCTTTTCTACTTTTGCAATTTTTGTGCAAGCAACATCTCCCATTTCAGTGAGCATGTATAGCACCTCAAGTGTTGAGATTACAAGCAGCACATCAGGTAAAGTGAGATGACAAATGATCTCTCTATATGAATCTTGATCCACATATTCACAAATTAAAACACCATTATCTTCTGCTTTGCAAAGATTTCCCAAAATTTCCATGCCTGTAAAACATACACAAACACACGTATATTTTAACAAATGATAAAGTTTGTTTACTTTCCACAATTAAAAACTTAATTGAGTACTCACCCCTCATCTTTAAAAATCTATCCCTTGACATTAAGCATTTTGTAACAGTATGAAACATCAGATGAGTAGTTTTGAAATCAACAGGGTCCAATAAAAGCTAGAAAAAAAAAAACAGTACTGTTGAGGAATGCTTCTTCTAGAGTTCTGTATTTCAAATTTAACAAAATTAAAAAAAAAAAACCACTGTATTATTTTAAAATGTATAATTATTATGAGAATAGTCAAGGCTCAATTTGAAGCATCATTTCAAGTATTTCTTTTTGTCCACAAATGTTTGCTATTTCTCCACCACCACTTTTGACAACAAATACATGTAACCATTTAATAAATATTCTGCAAATATGGACAACTAGAATAAAATGCCACACACATCCTAAAATTTTTAAGTAAATGTTGCTAATTACAAAAGCAATTTTAAGATACTGTAACATGCTTACCTCAGCTGCAATATTTCCTAATGTGTCAAGGCCTAATTGCCTTAAAGAAATAAAATGACTATGTGCAGAAAGTAATAGGAAACGAAGACAGGTACGATTAGCTGCCAAGAGCTTAACATTGCCCTCTTCAAAGGAAAGATTTCGCAAAATCACTGCAATCTGAAGTACCCGCTGTCCTTCAATATCATTAATGCCCAGCTTTCGAGGTGGATGAAATAAAGATTCCCAAATCCATTCTCCTGATGTACCTTCTATAAGAGAAAATAGAAATTTCATAAATTGGTATTTTATTTACCATTGTAGCAATTTTGAAATCACTTAATTATACTTTTATTGACTTACCCTGAGACTTGTTTCTATCAGAAATGAGATCACGTACTTCATTATCATCAACAATGTCTTTCCAAAACTGTAATCAGAAATTAGTATGCTAAATGCCAATGATTTGAAACAACTATTCTGTTACTTTAAAAAGTCACACTATGGATTTTGTTCTTCAACATAAATGCTTAATTTCGTATAGTTAAAGGATTCTTATGTAATTAAGATTTGTGTTTTCTTTCTTTTTAGGTCAAGGATTCTTAACCTGGCAGGCAACAGAATCCTATAAAGTCTCTGAAGGAAAGTAGAACATCTGTGAACTTGTATGAGGGGGAAAAATGAATCTTTATGTTCATTAATATTTAATTGAAATTGAGTATTTCTTCAACACTTTCTTCAACTCTGAATGTTAGTCCAAAGATCATGATAGCACAAACCGTGACAGAGTCATCAATATGAATCACAGACATTTTCAGATTATTTTTATAGCTATAGAAAATATCTACAAGTAAGTGTTTGTACAGAACAGTACTTGAAAATTAAGGGAGGTATTAATCTCACCTGCAAATGGCAAATAATCACAATATTCCTATTTACAGACAATTCTGAGGCATAACAAGTGATACAGTTTTGGTTTTTAAATGGAAAGCAAAATCCATCCAATTATTTAATAATCTTTTTTGTAGCTAAAAACCAAATGCCTTTATATTGATATATCTTATACAAAATGAACATTGCCCATTCCACTTGCCTGGAACTTATGTACTAATAAAAAACCATGTGAGCTATTAACTAACTTTTTATTTCTAAATAATATGGTATGTATATGCTAAAAAATAATTATCTTTTGGAATCAAAGTTGTTGTGCATGTAAAACTTTTATTCTGAGAAGAGAGCCACAGACATCATAAGACCACTCAAGAGGACCACTATATTTAAAAAATAAAACAAACAACAAAAAAACCTAAGACAAATAATGTTTGGTTAACAATAAAAAACAACTTGTCACATGAAAAAAGAACATGGTCAATAACTATGAAAAAAGGGACATAGGGAAGTAAAATAATAAAGTTATTAGATACAGAATTTAAAATAACCACGAATAATAAGTTCAAAGACATAAAAGACTACAAATGTTGGGAAAGAAATGAAAACTAAAATAAAGAACTAGACAGAAATTCTAGAACTGAAAACATAACTAAAATTAAGAACTCTGTGGATGGGTATAGTAAATGATTAGATAAATACATCAACCTGCAGACTTAAAGTAAATAAAAATGTGTAGGAACATCATAATAAAATTTCTGAAACATCAAAAGAAATATCATAAATGGAGATAGACAAAAAGAACAGAAAACCATAAAAAGGACAACAATTAAAATGATAGCAGACTACGTAACAGAAACTATGAAAGCCAGATGACAATGGAATGTTTTCCAAAGTGAGGGAAGAAAATATTTACCAACGTATAATTTTATACAGTAAAACTGTTCTTCAAGAATGAATGTGTAATAATAGACATTTCCCGATAAGTGAAAACTGAAAAAACTCATTACTCTGCAAATGTGAATTAAAGAAAAATATATGGAAAAGGTAAATGTAGTTAAGTTAAACAAAATAAATCCTTTTTTTTTTTTTTTTGTAAATCTTAGGGGATAAAAATAAATATAAAATTAAAATTTAGGAAAAATGTTTTGAGGAAACTTTTGTTCAGGCATAATAGAATAATTGGTACTGGTATAGTCATCCCGCCATAAAACATTTTTCTGAAAAAAGTTTTCAGAAGGAGCTGAGGATATAGCTTAGTGGTAGAGCACTTGCACAGCATGTGAAAGACCCTGGATACAATCTCTAGCACTGCAATAAAAAAAAAAAAAAAGAGTTTTCACAGATAGGAAAATTCAGGAAGCGTATAGGTACTAAAACAAGGGAAAACACAAAGAGGCAAACCCAACAAATGCTCCATATTTCTACCTGTACATTATTTCTAGAATAAGGCATACAGAAGAGAAACTCAAGAGACCTTAACAATTGCTAAGCTGAGATTGATCAGATCTCACCAAGGTTAAGGCACACAGAATTTGAGAGCTAGTTTGTAGGCAAAAGAGTGGCTATAAAAAGCAAGAGCTCCATTAATCTAAAGAGGGACCCCTTTAGTCTACTCTGAGTACTAAGTTGCACATTCGTTTGGTCAAACTCCATAATACCAGTGGAAAAAAGTTAAGAACATTTTTAAAAAACCAAATGTTAAGGAGCCAGTTGAGGAATCCCTAGAGTAGAAAAAACAGACTTTCAGCTTATTCAACAGAAATTCCCATAATGCCACACATTAGGACTAGGAGTTAACTAGTTCTAAAGACAATGCTACATGTACTATAATTTGGATCTTCAATGCCCCTCAAAGGCCCAGGTGTTAAAGGATTACCCTCATAGTTAGTTGCCCTATTGGGAGGTGGTGAAATCTTTCAGATGTAGGGCCTCGTAGGAGGTCCTTAGGTAACTGAGGACATGTCCTCAAAGGAGACTGTGGTATTTCAGACCCTTCTTCTTTTCTTTTTTGTTTCCTGGACACGAGGTGACTGTTTTTGCTCTACCACACATTCCTGCTATGATATGCTGCTTTGTCATAGTCCCAGAGAAAAATGGCCAGTTGTTTGTGAATGGGAACCTCCAAATGGGAACCTCACAGAGCCAAAATAAACCTTTTCTTTTTTATAAAGTAAAAAGAGTATTTTGTTATATGGTAACAAAAAGCTGAGCAATACAATATATGATATGAATCTAAAACCAACCATACTATAAAGATCCATTAATCAACGAACAGCCTATCTGAACAAAGTTAGTTACTCAAGCAAATTCAGATACTCAACAATGTAACATTTACTGTATATATATATATATATAATAAAAATTTTCTAGACATATGAACTTAAAAAAATGACTTATAATCAAGACAAAAATAAGTTTCAACAAAAACAAACCAAAATAATAAAAACCATAAAATAATTGACAAGAACATCAAAAAAGTATTAAATATGCTCAAGAATTTAAAGGAAAATATGAATATAATTGGGAAAGAAATAAGCAGTATTAAAGAGAACCAAATAAAAGTTTTAGAAAAATGTAATCTGAAATAAAAAAATTCACAAGATGAAAGTAGCTTAAGTAGATAAGATGAAAGCATAACAAAGTAACAGTCCACAATGAGATGCACAGAAAAAATGTCCAAAAACAATAAGTGAGTTTGTATGAAGATGGCAGTTCCCACTGCCAGCAAGGCAGTCTCTCTGATCTATAACACACCTGTCTTTCTAGAGCAGATTTCAGGTTTCAGAGCTCTGGTGGGGGAACTGAACAAATCCACTCAAGATTTACAAAGAACGACCAGTGGGAATATGATAACCAGACAGTGCTAGAGATTCAGACAGCCAAGGATCTCATCTTTTCCAACTGGAGATGGTGCAAAAACTAGACTAAAAACTTCCAGTGGTTAATGAATATCTGTTGCTCTCTAGAGAAGTCTGGTGGACCTGGACTCAGATGAGCCCAATGTCTGTCTGGGGCATTGACTATGATATAATCTTCACCCTTCTGGTGCCAGTCCTTAAACTGCATGACTGTAATCAGCCTGTGCCACTAAGCCTTGTGCTTTTCCTTTCTGAGTCTTTGGCTTTCTGACGAAGACTGTTACATCATCAAAGATCACATCAGTGGAGCCACCAAACACTACTTCTCCCTTACAAGTGGCTGACTAGCTCTATGACTCCATCAGCACTGTCACATCAGAGATAGAGAAGAAATCCCAGCAAGAGATGCCAAAGGTAGAAAAGAATGGGACCATCATTGCCATCATTCTGGATGTAAGGAGCAGTAGTGGATTGTACATTTCTGTCCCTGTGGTATCTTTCAAACATTGGCCTGAAGTGGCCCAAAGCTGGCTCATGGAGAACCACTTCTAGATGGGAAGATTAGTGAGAAAGAAGTTCATCAGTGGGTTTTACTTGGTGCCTGGTTACTCCTACTAAGATAAGAACAACAAGAATGGCAGCTATACTTTGCCAGAAGCAAGGTGTAAATGAAGAAGTGATTCTAGCAGTTTCTTGTAGGCCTACCAGGCCATCACCATTAAACTCTTTCTGGCATACAGCCATTAGACCCTATCACCTGTGGAGCATGACCCTGTAGGACTGTAACAGACTCCTACCAACTGTCTGGCTCAAGAAGACTATGCAGCTCACTTTTACGGGGCCTTGTGATGAACTTAAGCACTATCTGGGCAACAAGATGTATCCCAATTATTTCATTACCTCAATGCAGCACGCTGGAACACCCATAAGAGGAAATTTGTTCAGTTCCCCCACCAGAGCTCTCAACCTGAAATCTGCTCTAGGAAGACAGGTATGTTACAGATCAGAGAGACTGCCTTGCTGGCAGTGGGAACTACCATCTTCATACAAACTCATTCATTTCCTAATGAATTTTCAACTCTGTGTGTATCTGAGAAACACAAAGACCTGGAACTACCTGGCATGTTGACTAGATTTCTTTCTTTTGACGAGTGTTCAGAATGGTTTCCCCCTTTTTCACCAAACAATGTAACCTTTGAAAGTAATAATTTTTGAAGCAACTTCATCGAATATACAAATTAGCAAACACAGGATGGTTTGAAGGGAGAGTCTAATAGCTTTTCAAACAAAATTAAGGTTCCCAGATATTAGTTTTAGTGTGTATAATTATTTGACAACTTATTTAAATTCTACTTAAGAACATACCATTATAATTGTTATATCTACTAATTAAATCTTTGCATTGTCAGAGTTGCATAGTGTTTTAGTACAAATTATCCTCCACTTTTGAAATGCTATCAATTTTCATTCAGCCCACTTTTCTTAGTCAAAAAAAAAAAGTATTTGCATTTATTTCTCTGTTAATTGTGGGATCCTGTTTTATCCTCTTTGATATTCCTGGCTTCTATCTTTGGGAAGTTTTTTTTTTTTAAAGTTTCATATCTATTCATTGATTTTTTGTGTGTGGGGGTACCAGGAATTGAATCCTGGGGTGCTTAAACGGTGAGCCACATTCCCAACC